TATATATATATATATATATTATGTTTGTAAACATAATGTACTCAGAGTGGTCCATAATAATATAAGACACATTACCAAGGTTTGCACATTTATCTTATTGTTACATATTAGCAACTGCTTATAAGTAATACATGAAATTGCCATGTGGCAGCTAGCCTGATAATATCAACATCAGTTACACTTTCTGTACATGCTACAGCATATGTATGGCCTTTATGTTTCTTCTATAAGTGGTAGGCAAATTCAACAATAATATGAAAATAAAAGTAATAACAGAAATAGCATGTTCTATCATAATCATTCATCCAGATCACATTTTGCTTTATCAGTATACACAAGGTTCACTGTAGCAGAAGTATCATGGACAACAGCAAAATCAGTTCCGATAGAACAACACAGCAGCCACCTGAATTGTTGTGTCTTCTATGTTAGTACTATCATCTAAGATTTGTGGAAACAAATACATTGGTTAAGCGCAAGAATTAGCCCAAAAATATATCTATTAAAATGAAACTCACACATTGCCTTGATTCATTATATTGTCTACATTTTCTGTGGTAACATAATTTCTTCTGCTGTGTTAGAGCATGACTCACTTGCTGCACTTCAGAAAATCTGGTACAGAAATGCCAGACTCTAACATAATCTTGCATGGGAACAGTATTCAAAGTTGCCGTGACTTGCACCCAAGATTGCATTTTTCCTTGGAAAGTTTTACAGCCAAATTTTTGTCAACACTCTGAAAGTGTGTATTGCAAAGTCCATTCATCCTATTGATTTCTCAGAGTTCCCACTGCCATTTGCAGTTGAACCCAACTTTCAATTATCCGAGAAGCTTTATCTGTATTAACTAAATGTCTATCAAGTATTGCATGATCTCCTCTACAGAGAGGTCACAACAACTCAATAAATATATCACTATTACTTTTTCAGCCATTGACTGTCCTGACTGCTGCTCACGTAGACAATCCTAGCCATAATGCTTGGAAATCAACATCTTGGCTGACCATCAGAGCAAACTAATTGCTTCTATAATAGCATTTCCTCATTTGACTCATCTTGGACAGTTAGATATGGACTGCCAGCTTTTCTCATTGGCCAAGTCAAATGATGCAGTGCTCTCATCATCAGAATCATTCTGCTCCTTCGGCTTCAATTCTTGGAGTAACCAGTTCTCAAATTGCTCGTTAGCACTGTAGTTTTATCTTGTTGACATGTTTGAAGTTTTTATGTGCATAGCAAGATCACTCTAACTCATAGCTTGCCACTTTAAGCTAGTGACAGACAAGATATGGCCTTCACCCAGAACCAAATTTGTTGGGTACTGTGGACACACAGCACATTCAAATCCAGTCACAAGACATGATTGTTTGATTCATTATCACTTTGTTATAGCAAGTCTTCACCCACAGGTGTTTTAATTCATTTGGTGACATGCATATGACCAGCTACATCTAGGGCAATTCTCTCAATGGGAGAATCTACAACTAAGTGAAAGTTTTCCCTGGTGAGGCCAGGTTTTTCTAAGGGAGCACATGTGGTACCATGCCTCATTGTTCAGCATCATTATGCAAATTTGGCCAGAATAAACATTTCTTCACATTTGCAGTGGTATGCAATATTCATTGGTGTCCTCCAAGTTCAAAGTAGAGCTCTGGTAACTACAAACTACATTACAGGTGGGCTATTATGTCCTGATGCTTCATAATAAAGAAATAGCCATTCCTTCATTTTTAGTTATTTCCCTATGGGTACCCTTTTCTGTGCATGTCATAACTTTTCAAAGTTTAATTAAACTACTTTATTCTCAATATATATGAATACATTTGGCATGAAAATGTAATTAATAAATCAAATTTTGATATTATGCAAGTTTTAAGTTCCTAATTCTACAAGAAAATATGTTAAGAAATCATCAATTTACCCTTGCATGACAAATGCAGCATTTGCTCTCTAGGTCTTCCATCTTCTCTAATTTATTTACCACCCCTCCCAGCAGTACAGTATTTAACATAAATTATTCATTGTAATATAGTTATTACTTAGGCAAAGCAAAATCTTTATAACATTTAATCTTATTTGTTTATGGAGTCATACACTAGAAATTCAGACTCACTGCCACATCAACCTGTCTCATCCACTCTTTCACCAATTGCTAATAGTTCTCTCTGATGTTTAATACTATATTATAACCAACAAAAAGATAAAGATTTAATCTATCAAACTACATATTATGCTGTTTTCTGTACAGAGAATTGTCTATTTTACTTCCAGTTCAAACTTTATTATAATGGGAAAACACACAGATGAGCTTAGCTGAATTTTTAATTTTTTGTCAAATAGCTAGAAAGCCAAAAAAATTATGATACATATAAGGCTGTGTCTACTTTTTATATGTTATGTTGTTCTTACATTCATTATTTAATTAAATAAAAAAAATTAGTGTAGTAGTACCATTTGTATAAAAAAAATAGTGGTTTTACATTTCATTGACAGTAAACAGCAACAAAAAAAAGACCCAGGTAAGTACTTTACTTGTTTTGTTTCATGCATATTCCATATTTATTATGATTAAAGTAACTAAAATTTAAAAATGCTTCACAAGGTCTGCTTGCAAGCAGCTTGTGTGTTATATAATTCGATACAGTACCATGAGCTGCATGTTTGCTGAGTGATTTACAACTTGTGTGGTGGGATTATTAGTTAGACACAGTACAAATTTAAATAAAATAATGAAATTAGGTACAAATAGTTGTATACTGTTATGAGCTTTAAGCAGTCGTGGTTTCCTGTTAAAATTTGCAGTCATCCTAGAAAATAAAAAGGTAATTTTTAGATTTATTTCCTCCTTTTTGTCTTTCTTTTCTTTCTTTCTTTCTTTTTTTTATTTATGGTGGTTAAGAGGTTGGTCAAACCACCAAACCCTGTATAGAATTAATAGAGAAAATAACAGATAAAAGGTACAGGGGCAAGCAGAATCTAAATGATTC